ATCAAGTCAAGATTTAAATTATTTCCTTTAACATAAAGAAGGTTGGGGGTTGAAGGTTGAGGTTTCCTTGTTAGTTTTTGTTCCCCCTGATTTTTTTCTTTTGTAATTAGTACAATAAAAAGAATGGAACAAAAAAGCTTTAGTGATTTTAAAATTTCAGTATCAGCAACATTCCCAAATGCAATTGCCTGCATAATTTACAACCACAGCTGTGCAGGTTAAAAGCCTAATTCCTTTCCATCTAAATATTTAGACATGCAAATCTTCTTGATAACCCAAATTTAATAAGCAGAAAAAATATATTGATTCTTTGGTGGAATAATTATAATTTTTACATATAAAATTTATTTTTATAAACAATATATCATTTCTTAGTTAAATAAGTGATGGTATAACAATTGCATACAGGATTATTTAGGTCATAATTAAACTAAATTTTTCAATTTTAATTTATTTTCAATAAACATACAGCAAGGCATAAAAACATACTTAAGTAGTGAATAAGAAATGCATAATTTATCATTTTTAAAGAGCAAACTTTGAAGGAAATAAGAGGTGCAAACAGAAAGCAGGATTAGAATCAATAGTTTAATCAAGCGTTCCTGCTTACTGATTTCAGTCATGATTTAATCATGATTAAACAGGTTATTTAAATGAAGTCTCCATGCTGTGAAAATAAAATTCAGTTCAGTAACCACATGCCCACACCTCCCTGATTCACAGGACAAAGAGAGGTGATGGTAAAATAAAACACAGGACAGTGCTCAATACCATAATCAATGGTGCATTTATTTCAAGAATACTACAAATGGTTTTGCTTAAGATGTTTGTTACTGGATCAATTCCCAGACTATAGACAAGTTCTGTTACTTTCCAGTTGTAAATCTACCACACAGCTGGGAGTTTGTTTGTGGATTTTGTCATTAAATACACTTGAGAACAGAAGCCACTCTAATAGCAAAACATTGAGAAATACTTGTCCTTGGTGAAGGACACACATCAGCCTCCCTTCTTACAAAAAAAAATGAAATGACAGAAGTTTTTTTTAAGATATCAAAATGAAACTAGAAGGAGAAAAGAAAAAAGAAAAAAAAAGAAAATAATAAGAATTGAGAACGCTGGCTTATGGTACACTAACAAAATTATCGAACTCATTCTGCCTCTAGCCAGAACATGTTTTGAGGTTTGCTTGTTTATAGCTTTTGGGTATTTGCTCCTACAAATCTAAGCCTCAAACTCAAATATTAACAACACAGGAGTAGCTCTACTACGTACCTCCAGCTAAGCACATTTTCCCTGTAACTTTACATATAACTAATTTTGTAAGAAAGAGATAAAAAAACTAGGCCTACATAAAAGCAGGAAGATTAGCACTTGAGTTTCTGCTCAGACTTATGAGTGATACATCATCATCTACGTTCTGGCACGGAGAGGAAATCACATTTGACTGAAGTCCAGTCCTAACAACTCTAACAGTCCTAACTGTTGTAGTGCAACCCAGGCAACTGCCTGCTTCTAGCTACACTTTGGACTTGTATATGCCTGTCCAGATCCCCAGAAGATACATTTCCACAGAGCTGTTCAAATAACACATAGGTTCCAGTTATACTAAAGTTCTTGTATGAAATACACACACGAACACTTACATGTAAAATAACACAGAGTGACATTACAGACAAGCCTGCCTCAGCATTTTCCCTACATACTATTTAAAATAAGATATGCAATAACAGAAATATTCATTTGCCAGTAAAACATTTCCATTTGCCCCTTTTGTTCTTCCATAGGCTTAATCATCTAGTGTGCAGGAACTGTATTAAATTAGGTCCTGGGACACTGCAAATTACTGTCAGTAAATTATTTTCCTGTCATATGAGCTAATTTAACCATCTTAGATTGCTGCAGATAATTTGCAATTCTTAACTATTAAGCATTAACAAGTCTCCTAATTTAACATGAAATATCTCTGTAATTAATCCAAGTAGTCAAATCCTCCGACAGTGACCTTCCTAAATCTGTAAATGTAACAGCTTGGTGGTCAGACTGGAAATTTCAAATCAAGGGTGATAATTCCTCCCCACTCCCTTTCCCTGGTGGTATGAACCTGTTGTAGGACAGGCAATTGCCTTCACAGGCAATTGCCTTCAGCCTCTCTTTGTGGAGCCTTACTGGACAAATGGGGATTACAGATTTCATTCCTCCCTACTCTAAAATACACCTTCCTCTGTGTGAGGCTGAGGATACAGAAGCATCAGCATTTTAATGTAATGATCACTCAGTCTGGGTCATAGTTACACGCTGTGGCAACTAAGAACCTGTATTTTCAGTTCACTGCAAAATTCAAGCACAACCTCTTAATTACTCTTGAGCTTTAAAACACTAATGGACTGTATTTAGCATTTAATACTAGAGCCTTTCAAAAGCTTTGCATGGAATTACCTAAAAGAGACTGCTGCTAATTTCACTTCTGGGGCAACATACTCTAAGGCACAACAGGGTAAAAGATAGAAAACAAACTGGAAATGGTCATCTCCAACTGAACAAGCAACTCTGACAGGAGAGAATATTTTGACAAGTTAGTCCTTCTGAGAAAATTATGAAAACAGAAAGGTAATAAATACAATTTAAGGACAGAAAAATCAGATGGTCTGTGTGGTTTCCAACTTGAGTATGAGCATTAAATGCCACCACTTGTATAAGGAACGCCATGAGTTCTGCTTCTGATCCACAACAAGGCATTTGCACTAAACAGAGGCTGGTGTTAATTTAGCACTCCCTACTCAATTACTGAATGAGTCCAACCCCGCTCCATTTGGGAAAAAAATAACAGAACCTGACCATCCAGGTAAAGAATTGCTGAAATGCATTCATTCTTCTGCCAGAATTCCTCCTTTGTGAAAGTAATTTTTAATATTTATGGATACTGTTAACCTTTTTTGGAACATACTGCTAGAAAAGAATTCAAACTGTCATCTAAATTTTGATGGGTTTTGTCACAGGGTAGCCTCATTGTAGAAAAAGAAAAAAGAACAAAGCAGAGGAGCACTTTCTTCCTGCCCATCAGGCCCTGCCCAGGCCCCTCTCACTCCTGTTTAAGGTTGCCCATCTCCCTAGCTTTTGCCCTGTCCAAATCCCCAGGAACTACTCTTTAAACCTTATGGTCCACACTCCGGAGCCTCGTATTAAATAGTTTCTGCCCATAAGGTTCTAAATGTTTGCATCAACTTCCACAATAAACTGTGCAACCAAGGCAGTTCCCTAGAGCTTACATGGGACAGAAGTTTGCACTGCAGATCATTCTTCCCTCAAAAGCAGGACAGTTAAATTAACAAAACTCACTCAGCAAAATTATGCATCAGATTTTCGTTTTTTCCAAGACACCATTAACAGTGTTACCAGAGTGCATCTGCTTTTCAAGACTAATTTTTTTTTCCATTTAAAGGAATCTTTCTGGTTCCTAAAACTGAAATTCTTCATTTTTCCCCTCTCTACCAACAACCACCTAGACCTTCATAATTATAACACATTAACCTAGTTACTACAGACTTGCTTTTAGGGAGGGCAGGGGGAGGGAATTTTTTCTACCCAGATTAAGAGGATCTTTAAGAAGAACAAAAATTCATTGTGCAAATTAAAGCTCAGAAACTCAAGTCTCTTGGGATCAGTCTTCCTTCACTTCTGGCTTAAGAGCTGCAGCAAACTGAAAGCATAATCCCTGACATTTCACTATACTTGCAGGACTAAAATGCTTGCCCTCTGAAGATGCCAACACCACAAGTAACTGGGCTAATCACTCCACAGGTTTCATCATAATTTATAAGTACCCAAAGCACCTCACTGGCACATCCACGTAGCAGTGCAAATTGATCTGTTTGTAAATGGTTTCATCTACCGGCCAGCAGAGATGAAAAAGAATATTGATAGCATAACTGGGCAGTTATGTAAATTGGACAACTAAAATGATTCCAAATAATCTCTAAGTCTTTCCTATCCCCACAATAAAATTTATTAATCCTCCCTTTCGTAAACAACCTTTTGCAGCCATGCAATTTTTTGCAGCTGTCACTAGAAAAGCAGTAAAAGAAAAGAGAAGAAAACAGATTTTGGAAGTTGGCACTCATTCTGCGTAGTTGGTTTTCCTCTGACTACTGACAGCTGAAACCAGGACATTAACAATTTTTCATGTTACTGTTTTAAAGCTATTTGTTGTGCGTATTTGTTTCCAATACATTGGTTGTAATTTTCTAATTATTTCTGACTTATCTCTTTATTAGCATAAACTAACCTGCAACATTTAACTTTTCCCAATAGCAATAATTAAGACTTTACAACCTCTCATGAATATCCTGTCAACACAAACCATAGGTAAGCAAGTTTTAGAGTGGCAGTAAGTTTTTTATCTATGTTAGCCATTTAAGGAAAATGGCTGTAAATACATAAGTTATCAAAGTTTCTTTTGAAAAAATAGTTTTATACAAGACCTAGACTGCACAATTAAGCAATTCAAATCTTAGTTATAAACTGATTATAATTAAAGGTAAGCTGACTCATTTTAACTAAGTATAAATTTAAGTCAGACCACATATTTGTATCCATTTTCTAAAATATCTGTCACTTCTCCACAATGGTTGATCAAACGTGCCAGTGAAAAATGTTTTGAGTAGGCAACTTGTAATATAGCTGTGGTTTGTTTCTGTCAGAGGCTGGCTGCTGAAGTGTGAAAGAAACTCATTAAAAATCTCTCACTGTGATCCTTCATTGCAAGGAAAAAAAAGAAAGAAAATACTTAATGAAGGGTACACTTAGCCTGAAGTCACATTCATATTCTGCTTTTTGTTTCACACTATTTCGGTAAGTAATTAAAAGACAGCAATTACTCACAGAAACACTATTCATGGCGGTCATACTGAGAGATATAAAGTACTGATTTTATGTTGATATTATGAAAGTAATGAGGGAGATCAAGACAATACAGCTAAATAAATAGAAGAATCTCTTACCTTAATCTTAAGACAAGATTCACCGCACATGGAACTTCACTATATTCGTCACTAACAACAGGCTGAGACTATCAGAGAAAAAAGCAAAGTTTTATAAAGGATGCCAAATGAAAAGAAAAAAAGAAAAAAAATCACGAAAAACTTTCCATGCTAACAGTTTGAAGTTAGCACAGAATTATTTAACACATTCTCTAACTCTCAGAAACCTTTTGAACACTTTCAGTACACAGTCTAAAATATAGCTGATACCACTAAAACCGCCAAATTTCAATTACAGAGATACAAATGATAATGCATTAAAGCACTGAGTGTAGGAGCTTTTAATCCACCTTGCATCAAAGCTCAAATAACCTATTAAATAATATGCACACAGTGAGAATATCAAACAGCTACTCACATTATTTTTGTGTAACAGTTTTGGTTGTTACAGAAGTCTTCCATCTACCCATATGCAAAGAACTAGTACCATATCAAAGCAGGCATCACAGCTCAAAGATGTCTTTCACAAAGAAAAATCAGGAATATGGATATCTTTCACACTCTCACTCCTCCCTCACACTGTAATATCCTTCCCAGCTCTCAACTAACACTGACGTGAAGTCTCAGGCAAAACTGTATCCTACATACAGGGTATTTCAGGGTCCTCATACCCACCTTGGCATATTGTCACCACTCACAGAAGCTTGTTCAAAAGTTACAGTCAAGTTCTCCCAAAATAAAAGACCTGCATCACAAATCTCTTTTGATAGTTTTTGCAACAGTCTTTCATATCAAAGCTACTTATAAAAACATTACACAGGACCTATTTTCTATTATCTGTGTATTTTCAACAAACATTAATGCATATTTGGAAAATTATTTATCACTTTCACAAAATAAGAGCAATTTTTTTTCTGCTTCCATTAAATTCCTTCCATTCATATAAACTACTACTATTACTTCTGCATCTTCAACAGACATGTTATTTCAATGTATAGGAATGTGCATCCCAAAGACCCAACAGACACACACGAAGAGTGGCGAGCTGCACTAGTCTTAGTTCCAAGTCATCTTCTGGAGCATTGAGGAAAACAAAAATCAACAGAAGACTTCAAGCGGAGGCTTTTGTCTCCTTCATAAACTAAGCAACTATTTTATTATGAGCTACCTGTATAAACTGAATCACAAACTGTAGAACTCTTAATAACTAAGACACAGAAAGACTGTGTGGAGTAGAAGTCCTTTTTTTTTCTACTCAGCTTTATCTCAGCTGCTGAAGCACTGTGTAAACCGGGTCTGCAATGAAGACACTGGAGTCATCACAGGAGCTAACAGGACCAAATCTGGCAGGAAGTTGTTAGTCTTTTAGAAGATTTCTATGACACCAATGAAAACCAGATAATCCAAAACTGCAGGTGAAGTGGCAAGGGTCACCCACCTAAGAAATAGACATTTTTGAAAGAGATTTTTTTTCTCTAAGATATAATCCTATTAAGCAATTATTTATAAGAGAAATGCTTCCCACACTCTCAGCACAGGGCCATGAAATTCAACATGATATTTTGTTCCTCTGAATTAACCTAAATATGCTTCAGTACTGAACTATTTTACTGTGTATGGAATGAAACATTTTAATTATAAGCTACATGTTGTGATACAAATCGTAAGAACAAAAAATTATTTGGAGATCCTCTGTCTACTCCTGAACACAGTCATCATTACTCTGACAAAGACAGCAATCAGTGTGATCCAGTTATGAAGATTCCCTAAAAACAGCCAAATTACCTATTTTCATGAATTCTTCTGGGCACAAACATAACATGACTTTTAAATTCCTATCCATCTTATCCACTGTGTGCTCAACTTCATTGTTACAGGCACAATTGCATACAGCTCTATCCTCACAAATATCCTCCTTGCTATACAAGGCTGCAGAAAAACACTCCAACCTCAATTCACATTTTTAACAGCAGAAACAAAAAAGAAATCACTCAAACACCTGGAAGAAAAGAAAAATTGATAAAGACATTTTTACCTCTGTGTTCTCCTCCTCTTTCAGTCTTCGTGACTGGAAAACAAATGCAATGAGATATGAGCTATGCAGCTTTATGCAATAAAGATCCAGAAATACTAACAATTAACATAAAGACAGAATATATTGCACAGTATAAATGTCTTGGCAGAAACAGAAGGTACCTTTTCCTGAGAAACAGCAGCTTTGCCTTCCTCGCTCTTCTCATCCATTTCATCATCACTCCATTCCCAGTCTCCATCTTCTGTTTTATGGAGGTGACCACTGGAACCCGGCACTCGCCTGACCTACCAAAATATTGTTGACCATTACATAGACATTATTAGTCTTTATCAGTGTTCTGGTTAATCAGCAATTCTTTGCTATTTTTATTTTATGAGCTTTCAGTAATTTGCTGCAGGAGTCACTAACATATTCTAATAATATTTGACCTCAGGGGTCATCCTTAAGCCAGAGGGAATAGCTAAACCGTGCAAAATTCATATAGGGAAACAGGGCTTGGAGATATTTTACAACCACTTAGGAACAAGCTCAATTAGATGACAACTGCTTTACTGCTTGAAACGAAAGGAAGCTATTCAAGAAAGCGAAGTTAACACAGACAAGGTTGTTCTTGGGACACAAGAACTTTGATTGCCCTGCTTAAAAGCTTTAAAATGTGTAAAGGCATTAAGAATACTTCAAACGTGAAGTTATCCTTATTAAAAAAAAAAAAAAGCAGCAGCTGTATACAGACTAAGAAGATAGGCAGGCATGCATCACACCAAACTAGCTGGGCAAACTCCTGTAGATCAAAAAGTCTAATGAAGGATAATAGGAGTATCCAGCTGCTAAATCTGAAAATCAAATGCTCTTCTGGTGGTATCTTGCTCTTTTTCAGAGCCAGACAACATGCTTGTTTTCCCCCAGATAATGTTTAGACTACAACAATTCATCCATCAATTCTTCCCACACCTATGCATTTTGAGACCCATGATGCTGGAAGCACAGCACAATAAGCAGCAGCCCCGCTGGTGTTTAGATTAGAATCTGTTTCTCTAATTATTTCACACCACTGAACCAATATACAGTTTCCACTGTACAACTTCAAATGCTTGTACAGGTAAGCTCCCCAGTGCTATAAATTTGTAAAGGTTAAAGTATATCCTTTTCATTACAAAAAAGTTATTCCAGAAAACGGCCTGTACATTGGTAAGAGAACAAAAGGAACAAAGCATTAAATGTTCACATCACACAAAAGAAAGAGCTAACTTGGTAGAAAAGTAATTTCAGACCAAAATCTACTGTTGGAGAAGATATCAATAAAAATAACTTCAATAAACCCAAACCAATTAACAAACAAAAAACCCCACACACCAGATGAACAGGGCAACTCTAAATCCCACCCACCAAAGGTTAGCCCAAATCAGCCTGACAGAGAGACACCTCCAGCAGCAGAATGCAGAAGCTGCCCACATTTCCCAAGGCTTGGCGAAAAGAAGGTTGCAGCGTAAGGAAGCAAAACATAAATTGTTGTCTACTAGGCACTGACGTGCTCGCTATATGTAGATGTTAGAGACTGGGGAAAGAAGAATCTATTATTCATCACTGATTCTTTAGCTGCTGCAATCTCTTCACAAGTTTATTTTTGTAGAGTGACAAGGGAATGAACATTTTCTGAACATTAAGATCTTTCTACTTCATTATTCACAACTGCTCAAAACAGCAAAGAACTGGGCCCACTTAGAGATTCAGTATTTTATTTCAGCGTCTAAATTTAATAAATAAAAAGGATACACTGTGGGATACCAACGTATACACACATTACTACATTTCATACATGGTACAGCACACAGTCTAGACCACATTACAAATTCATTCTTTCATTAAGAGTAATATTATGTATCTATTGTATTTTTCTTCTTTCTAGAATAAAATGACTAAACTAGTAATCTTTTTTACACACTATCTGAATTATTTAAGGTATCCCTACCAAAGTCTCTAGCAATTGAATATTTGCAATGGAGTCCTGGATAGATTTAAAACAGCATTTTTAAATTCTCTTCCACAGAAAGAGTGTGGTAACCTGAAGGTATGGTAAATGAGATGCACTTGTGTAAGCAAAACTGATGGCACTAATGAGCACTAATATTCACTGTCATGGAAGGTGCCTTGCCACCCTCCATATACAGGTAACTTAGAGTCCAAATTTAATTTGTTCCTGAATTCCTGGAAAGTAGCAAATGTGTAGACTCCACCCATTTAAAATATATCTGCAAAAGTCTTTGTGAAACCTTGACACTTCTTCCTATTAATTTCTAACTAGAGAACAGCCAATGCTGTTCTCCATTTTTTGCATCTGTATATCTACAGAAGGCAATCCATCTTTCTTTTTTTTTTTTTTAACATACATATCTTTCTGGAAATACTGCAGCTTAGCTTCTTCCGGAGATAAAACTGTTTTGTCTTCTAGCCAAAGAGCATCAGTGGTACATCTGTTAGTAGAGCAGTAAGGATACACCCAATTCCATATGCCCCAGAGAGCAAGAATGATAAAGTGGTTATTTAAACACCTCATTGTTTTCATTTTCTGCAGTCTGTCCTCATAAACGCCTAAATCTGGCTTTCAGACATAGAGAAAGACAGACCAGTCAGCTGACACTGTATACCTTCACCTTCCCCTAAGACTAGCTCTTATAGGAGGCAGGACTCCCACTGTTATACAGAAGTTCTTATAGAAAAAAATATACTCTTTAAAGTGTGAATATTACTTGGTAATTGGTAAGATGAAGGTTTTTGCATAGCCAGTGTTCCTCTCCTTTTTTTCTTTTTTAAATCAAAAGTTCCAAGAGCTTCACTTCTCATGCAACTTCATGAGAAGTATTTATAAAATTAGTTACCACGTCAGTTATTTTATAAAAAGAACAAAGATGAGAAATAGGACATTACTGAACACAGTTTTGGTTTTAGCATTACACTTTGCCCTGTGTATTTTTCTCTCAAAAAAATCCTTGATCAGTTCCTTCCATACACAGCTTATGCCTATAGAGTAATCAGATTTTATAATTTTTACCTTTGGCCATCTTGCAAACCTTTCCTAAGGTACAAAAGCAAATTTTAATCCTCATCCCTATGAAATTATTTTATTCTAATGCGACAAAGAAAATCAGCATATCATTGTGTTTATCCAATCATGGTACCAGCCTTTCGCTTAAAACAGTTACAAATTTAATCACAGCTTAGCACCTGAGGTACATGCATGGAGAAGTCACTTTCTACAATATATTAATGCAAAAGAACATTGGTCTTTTTGTATAAGAACACCTACACTGTAATCTTATTTTTGAAAAAAAAAAAAAGAAAAAGAAATAACCTTAGGTCCAAGACAGAGCATGAATTCCCACATGTACACATGATCCTTTGTTCAAGAGTTGAGGTATTACCTCAAGAGAGGGCTAATCTCCATTCAAGCCAGTCTCACAGGTCCCATGAAAATCCTAATCCTTTCAGTGCTGACTATTCTTAAATTCCTCTGAGTTCATTATAATGTGAAGTCTTATTTTTATTCGGATGAAAGCCACAAAAATTCTGCAAACCTGAATGTGTTTTATGCAATTTGAAACCTTGTTTTTTCCCCACCATGACTTATGCAGACTACTGCATTAATGGGATGTACCACTACCTTTCTAAAGTAACACTCTGGTATTTCTGCTTTGTAGAATTCAAAAGATGTTAAAATATCTCAGTAACTTGGTGTTAGTGTCCCCTCCTCTTAAGCCACTCTGTATACCGCAAATATCACGGGGAAAAACCATTCTCCTTAGTCTTTCTTTTTCTGCACTTGGAAAAAAGTTAGGCAGAAGTTGCAATGTTTCATACTCATATGCAGGAACTATTGGAATACTCACTACTGGAATAAATTACACTGGCAACTTAAAGTCAAGAAATGTAAGATCATTACATTTTCCTTCATGATAGAATACCGAATAAAGGAAACTGATAATTCTACATTGAACAGGGCTCCTTTAGGTCTCTCTATGGGTTCTTGCAGAGCACCCTTTTTAAGGGATAACACAACAGAAGTCAACAAATACAGGAATCTGTTAAGGAAAAAAAAAAGAGAGCATTTGCTTTAAATATTTATGATACTGGTTTGTTTTTACAGCCAAACAGTATCATGCTTACATGATGAGAAGCGTGACACCCAAGGGCATGGCCATCAATCGTCTGCCATGAAATCTTACCTACACTCTCAGTTTAGATATGGAACACAGTGGAGCTATCAGTGAGAGTAAAAAAAGGCATTATTAGCTGAAGAGAGAGGGGAGAAGAGAGCGCATTCCTACATCTCTAGAGGAAATGATGAAAAATGGGTATAGCACACAGTGTACCAACTCCCCATCCACTCTGGGGGATTCCTTGTCCAAAGCCCTCCTCCTATCACTCTTCACTGATTTTTCTGCTGCTGGGATAATGCTGCTTAGAGACAGCAAAACCTAGCAGCTCAAACTAGAGATGCTATTTTGATACCATCTTGTTTACAAGTGTAGGTAATTCCCTGCACTCCTAATTCTGCTTTCCAAAACTGTAAAGTTTTACATAGTACTGCAACATACTTATTATCTCTGTTTTCAGCTGGAGTCCAAAATTTGAATCTGATTTTGCTTTGAGAAACTGCAGTGTTTTGCTGAAACTCCAGTAACATAGCAAATGTGTAAGTTTAGTAATTCAGTATGATTTCTGTTTTTCAGATGTTATTTCTCCTTTTATAAGTTCTGCTACATAAACTTCATTACTGAATGTTATTAACTGCAAATGATTCTTTCATTCACATTTTAACAACAGTCCTTTCAGTCACGATGTGTACCTGTGCTGAGGAGGATTTTTTCAATTAACTGTGCAGAGGAGATGCACTGTTCCTCAAAAGCAACACTTCACCTCAACAACAAGGAATCCCAAATGGGCCATCAGGAATGACAAGCAGAGAGAGGCTCTCTTCTATCCTCTTTCTTTTCCCTGCCTGCCCCCTTTCATTCTCCCAATCAAACTAAGGTGCCAAGGCCAAGAAGGTACCTGCAAGAATCAAAGGAAGCAAATCAAAGATACAGCAAATTGGCAAAGTAACTTAGTACTCTGAAAGGTGACAAAGAAAGATAAAGATCCACTACTGAAAGACTTTCCGTTGGAGGGATCACTAGATCCACCTTTATAATCAGCATTATCTGGTTCCACCATCCTTTTCTATCATCCAAGCCGTTTACTTTCTTAAAATAACCAGAGGTGAAAAGAAAGAAGACAAATATAGCCT